GGGCATGGCCGACCAACCTGAGGCATAGTCTAGCTCCCGCTTGCGTGCCTGTCCTTGTTCTGCGTCCGGCTTGGGTCTAAGCCCAAGTTCCATTCCATGCTAGTTGGTGGAGTACCCATATCCTCACGTTAGGCCACCGGTATGCCGAAATAGCACCAGACTCCGTTTGGCTCTGTTTTGCGTGCTGGTCCTGGCATTGGGATGCTGGTTGCTCTAGGACTGTTCCAAGTCACTCCGGGCTCCTGTCCCTTCGCTCCTTGGGCTTTATGCTCGGGAGTTGCTCCGTGGTTCGGTTCCGTCACTCCTTGGCTCCATGCTTGGGAGTTTGGCACCGTTCCTTCGTTCAGTGGCCCAAGGCCCTGAACCTCGGGTTCCTATGGACACGTGGCATGGATACGTGGCATGTGACATGTGGCATCTGTCACGTGGCACAAAGAGGGTTTAGGTTCCGCTTTGTGGTGTTATCCTATGGTAAATCACCATAGGATAAAGGGTCAAAACCACATGCGCTACAATGAGGTTCTTTGCGATATACTGGAAGTGATTGCTGACTTTATTAATGATATCTTGATCCACTCAGAGGGGACATAAAAGGAACATGTCCATGATGTTCGTAAAGTGTTAGATCAACTATACAAAGTTGGTTTGAAGTTGAAGCGGTCAAAGTGCATGTTTGGGTTCAAAGACACAATTTATCTTGGGTATTATAATTTTCTTGTGTATTTCTTATGAGGGTTTGCAAATTGATCATGACAAACTTGTGGTTATTCTAAAGTTTCCTACTCTAAAGTGCGTGAATAATTGTGAGACACAAAATCCCTAGGCCCCAAAATGGAGCTGGAAGGGTGCCACGTGGTAGTGGCTGAAGTGAAAGCCAAACGAGCGTAACATGTTTGGACCAAAAGTTCCGATTTGAAAGGTTGAGAGCGGGAGTGGAACTCCCAACAAAGTGCTCAAGGAACAAGCATGAAGTGAGCAATAAGTGAGTCTCTAGAAAAGGGACACGAGATGGACCTGAGATGGAGTCCGAGATGGAGTCCAAGATGGAGTCCGAGATGGATCCGAGATGGAGTCCGAAATGGACCCAAGATGGAGTCTAAGATGGAACTGAGACCGAGACTGAGTCTGAGTCCGAAATCGGGATTGAGACCGAGTTCGAGTCCGAGTTCGAGTTCAAGTTTGAGTCCAAATACTAATACAGGCTGTTGGGTGAAAGCCCAAAGCGATCTCGTCCCCTAGGGGGGGGGGGGGGGGTTCCAAAAGTATAGTAGGGGGAGTATAGGGGTTGGAGCTCAGTGGAGCCAGTTTGGCTAGGAAAGGATAGTTTGGCCTAGGAAGGCTGTACCCAAGTGTTGGGTGATGAGCTGACCACTGGGAAGTCCAAGATTAAAGTGAATACGGACCGACAAGCGGGGTAGCTTGGTGAAGTGTTCAAGAGCCAGCTCTAGTTCCCCCAGGAGATCAAACGGTCGATGCTCTCAGTCCAACTATGGGTGGCACTACCTACTTGGATACCAGGCGTGGCTCAACGGAACCTCGCTCTAAACCCATGGCTATAGCACCCAAAGGCAGAAGGTGGGGAGAGTACCCATGTGGCCCACGTAGGGCCACGGTGTTCCGAAATGTTGTCCCAAAGTCCTAGATTGTGGAAAGGAAGAGGAGCAACCCTCTGCTGTGGTGACCAAGGACACAATCACACGGTGAGGAAGTCTTAGAGGACTGTAGGACTTAGTAGTTAGGCTTGTGGGCATTTATCCAGTGGCAGTGTTGGCGAACACGGCCATGGACAGAAAGGGACTTGGTGAGGACTGGAAAGGAGATATTGGGGAAAGCTATTCCCCATGTCTGCGGGCATCCCAAGGATGCTAAGGAGTGGATCTGGGATGACCACTCATGGACAGATGGCCCCATCTTGGAGGGACGGGATTGCGATGTAGGTGGTGCTAGACCACCGGTGTAACCTAGAGTGAATGGGCATGGCCTTAGCATAATGGGCTGATATGTTAGTGGTACCTTGGGGTGTCGGTCATGAGATTGGACACGTGGAGCACTTGGACCAAGTGCAATGGTTGAGTGGCATGGATGCCATTTTTGGGGCTAACAAGTCCTTAAGTCCAAAATAGGACTTACGGAGGTTGTGAGTGAGATTCCTCCAAGTGGTCGGAGGTGTGGTTAAGTGACTAAAGTAAAATGGAAAATTTAGTTGCTTACAACTTGGTATCGGAGCTGTTTCTTAGTCCAACTTTTATTGGTGCTTAAGTATATCACCATTAGTGTTGTTTCCCACACTGCTAACCGACTTGCCCTTCTTATCCGTGGGTTTGTCTCTTTTCACTTGACTCCCCCACATACATGTGTGAACTTATAGGCGAGGTGGTGGATAAAAAAAGGGCAATAATGGAACGACTTTTGGATCTTGGGAACAATATAAAAGTTTCCTTAAAGAGTTGAGGATGTGATCCAGATGAATGTTTGATTTAGCAAACTGGCCAATGTAATTGTGGTAAACAACTATAGTTGAGATCACGGGGAAGATAGAGACTCCAAAGCAATAAAGGAGTCACAAGATTCTCATGTAGTTGAGGTTGGTGCTCATGAATGTGAGGCAAGAATTAATGACCGTGGGAGGTCAAATACGGAAGAGGACATAAGTTTTTGAAATGGTAGCCGAGGCTATCTTTAATAAATGTTGGAACAACCCAGGAGTTGGGGGTGTGCTCAAAAGATGAGTTGGTATTCTCATCATATGGATGGATAGTCCTAAAGGGCAAAGGTAGCCCACAGGGAATAGAAAATAATGAAGTGTTAGAGTAACACTTGCAAAGATGGTCTTTATTAGTAGGACATGAATACACACAATTGTATTTTAGCAAGTTAACACCTCAAAATAGGACCTTACAAATACCAAATGTAGCACACGTGGTTTTGACCCTTTATCCTATGGTGATTTACCATAGGATAACACCACGAAGTGGAACCTAAACCCTCTTTATGCCACATGACACATGCCACATGTCATATGCCATGTGTCCAAAGGACAGTGGTGTGGAACCCAAATAAGAAACGTCATAAAGGTAGGCTTGTGGAGCCGATGGTGTGGAGACACCGAATGTGCCAAGGCGTGATGCATTAAAGTGAGTTGACAGGTTCATGAAAACCCCTTCCCAAAGGAATCCTAATGGAAATGGGAATGGCATAGCCTAAGCTAGAAGGCATGCAATTGGAGTGTGGTGACCTAGATAATGATAGAGGTGTGGGAGCACCAACAATGAGTTGTAAGACTTGATAACTATAAGGCAACTAAGTAAAAGGTGCAAAATAATCAGTTAAACTGGTAAAAGGTAGCTACCTAAGACTTCTAGCATAAGGAAGTTAAGTATACTCTTACGGGGGATAAATTGTTTATATTGCAATATAGTAAATCAATGTTGTAAAAGGGAATGCTCATTGTCAAAGAGGCCATCATTGAGACACCCAAACACTCTAGAACACTAGGAGGTGGTGTTTGTTGTCGTAAGGGCAATAGATAAGGCCCAAGGGACTAAATCCCTAGCGAATGATGGATAGAAGGTGTTATCCAAATGTCCAAGGTTGTGGAGATAGGAGAAGACCATTTACCCGAATTGGATAAAACCAAAAATGGAATTTTGGCAAGGCTAGTGATGGGTATATAAAGGCCCATAAGTAGCTACGTTAATCTTGGTGTGTGAAATTACAAGTTGAACATGCCCGAATTGAGGAACCACTTCCTAGGCTATCGGGTAGGTTCATCCCTATGAATACTTGCTAAGGCATGGTAAAAAGTGCAAAGCTATCCTCTTAGTCTAAAGGAGAATAACTGAAGGAAAGGTGTGAGGCCAAAAACAAGTAGTAAAGGAGAATTAAACCATAGGAATCAAAGAGCATAACCAAGGTGGTTATGCCAGTTGGGAGTGGAGAATCAAATGGGCACTCAAGCATGTTATTACTAACAACCATGATGTTATGGAAAGTCTAAAGCATGGAATTATTTATGTTGGACTATATGGCAATTAGAAAGCTTGTGAAAGGAGAGACCTTAGCAAGTTAAGGGACAGAGTTCCTTCAAGGTTTCCAAAAACAATTCTAGGTAACTTAGTACTTAGAAAGCCAAGGGTAAATGGTTCATAGAACGCGCGAAATCAGAGTGGCGCAACAGAAGCGTGGTTTTGAAGCTTGTTATGAGGCAATGCTATCAATGTTCAGGAAATAGTCCTCGAGTGGTCAAAGGGATGGCTTTGAACAAGTCGGTGGTCAAAGACTTTCACGCTTGTGCATGAAACCATGTTACATTGGTTGGATAACTTGCAAAGCGAAATCGGCAAGTCAGGGGACCAAACCCCTAGTTGAAGGTGCTAACTTCAATAGGAGTGGCCCATGGGGCCAAGCATGGAGGAGTCCATGCATGATCACAGACTTGTCAAGTGAAAGGATTTGGCAGTGCAGAGGAACTATGTTCCTAAGTTGTGATCTATAGCGCGCTTTAAATATAAGTTGGTGCACCGGCGTGGGGAGTCACGCCAGGCATCTTGGATAATGCTTTCCGTAGATGCATATACGGAGGTTGGGTTCGAGTCCCGACCCTTTAGTGCTTGGGTTTGATGCAAGATGTATGTACATTTCTCCAAGTCCCTGAGGGACTGATACAAAAAACAAGACACCCTTAGCACTGTTCACTCAACTATGCCGTCTTGCAATTCTCCACCTAATAGTGACCACTGCCCTAGTGCTTGGGTTTGAGTCCCAACTCACTAGGGCGCGGTGATGGTTGGAAATATGAGGACACTCATTTATCGGTGGTCATAAACTCTCAGTAAGGAGACTAACTTGGGCACACCGCCAAGCGGGGGATGCCCCGGAGTCGTGATTCACAATTATATTGCTTAGTGTGGCTCAATATATATAACTTGAACGCTTTGGTGCGAGTGGCACCAAGGACGTGGTGAATGAGATGGGGACACCCAGTCTTAGTTGTTATGGACCCTTAGCCGGAAGGGTTGGCTTGGGTGCACCGCCGAGTGTGGGAGATGCCCCCATGGTCATGGCGAACAACTTAAAGGTCTGGAGGATTTAATACCTATTGGCAAACCTGTTAAAGTGCCAAGGTTATATCACAAGATGATCTTATGGCTAAAACAAGGACAAAGTCCTTGTGAGGTTAAAGGGATAAAGTTCTTAGTTCAAAGTGTTAATTTGAACTATTGATAATGGTGTGTCTCGGCTAAGGTGACTAAATGGGAAGAACAACTAAGGGAAATGAACTGTGACAATGCGATGGCATAGTAAGTCCGAAAAAAGTAGTCTTTATAAAAGACCTATGTGAGGGTCACAAAGTTGGGCCAAGGATAGAGCCCATAGTAGAAAATGCTAAAGAGACGTACTAGGGGTGAACACCCTTTGGACTTGGCAAAGCAAAGTCTTTGTTATGGAACCGAAAGGATACCTTGAAAACAGAGGTAGCAATCCAATGTTGTTGGGTGCAACAATCAAGGATATGAGCAAAAGACTAGTGGTTAAGAAAAGAGTCATGGAAGTCATGGAAAAGAATCCAAAAGGGCAAAGTTAGGCCAAGAACACTAATATGTTAGGCACTAACGAATTATGGGAAAGGCAATGTGTTTCCAAGGATGGATTCCCAATTTCTCTGATTTGGCGAAAGCGGAAGCTCCAAGGCAGGGAGCGGTAAAGTAGCCAAATAATAAAGCCATGGATAACTTTAGCACAAATTATGATAACTAGAACTTAGTGCCCAAGGTGGCACGAAATAGAAGAAAGGATGATAGTGCCCTCAAGTAGAGAACTTCTTAGGATGGGGAAGTGGAGTTGCACAATATGTGCAATGCAAGGTGTCGGAGACACCTAGGAAATTGACTTCAAGAAGTCAAAAATAAAATCCAAAGTGTAACGGTTATATCGATAGAAACTGAGACTACTCGAGAAGGAGTAGTGGGATTGAGATAGAGATGGTGTCTCTAATAGGATTAGTGAGAACTAAACCAATAAAAGGAGAAAACCACCACAATGGTCTAATCAGTCTCTAAGTTGGAGAGATTATCCTCCTTAGAGGATGGGCAAGGCATGGTGAGCTTTCAGTATAAAACTATTGACAAATATTGGCTAGGTGCCAAGAATGGAAAAGGTAATACATGTTGGTATTACTTTATAAAATAATTTATCTTTCAATGAGGACATTGAACTTCGTCTATGGGTCGTGGAGTTGTGAGACACAAAATCCCTAGGCCCCAAAGTGGAGCCGGAAGGGTGCCACATGGTAGTGGCTGAAGCGAAAGCCAAACGAGCATAACATATTTGAACCAAAAGCTCCAACTTGAAATGTTGAGAGCTAGAGTGGAACTCCCAACGAAGTGTTCAAGGAAGAAGCACAAAGTGAGTGATAAGTGAGTCTCTACCAAGATAGAGTCTGAGATGGACCCGAGATGGAGTCCAAGATGGACCCGAGATGGAGTCCGAGATGGAGTCCGAGATGAAGTTCGAGTTCAAAGAACAAGCATGAAGTGAGTGATAAGTGAGTCTCTAGAAAAGGGACATGAGATGGACCCGAGATAGACTTGAGATGGAGTCCGAGATGGACCTGAGATGGAGTCCGAGATGGACCTGAGATGGAGTTCGAGATGGACCCGAGATGGAGTCCAAAATGGAGTCCGAGATGGACCCGAGATGGAGTCTGAGATGGAATCCGAGATTAATGCCACCCATACTTAGATTGGGAGCATCGACCATCCAATCTTTTGGGGGAGTTAGAGTTAGCTCTTAAACACTTCACTAAGTTATCTTATTTGTCCTCTCTGTTCACTTTAGTTTTAGACTCCTTAATAGTTATATCGTCACCCACTACATGGGTATAGCCTTTCTTGGTCATATTGGTCTTTCCTGGCTAAATTGGTTCCACTGGAGTCCTCCCTTTATTATCCTTTTGGAGCTTACTAAACCCCCAAGGATCTAGTGTAAGTGATTAAATTTTCTATTCTACTTTAGTCATTTAATCACACCTCTAACCATTTGGAAGAGTCTCATTTACAATTTCCATAAGTCCTTTTCCGAACTTGGGGCTTGCTAGCCCCAAGAATGGCATCCATACCACTCAACTTCTACATTTGGTCCAAGTGCTCCACGTGTCCAATCCCATGACCAACACCTAAAGATACCATCGACATCTCAGCCTATTACGCTAAAGCCATGCCCATACACCTTTGCCACACTGGTGGTCTAACACTACCTACATCATAGTTCTGTCTCTCAAAGACTAGGCCATCCATCCATGAGTAGTTATCCCAGATCCATTCCTTCGCATCCTTAGGATGCCTGGGGAACAACCTTCCCCCATATCCCTTTTTGTCCATGGCCGTGTTTGCCAACATTGCCATTTGGTCAAGGCCTACTGACCCAACCACTAAATCCCACTATCCTTTAAGACTCCCTCACCATGGGACCTGAGATGGACCCGAGATGGAGTCTGAAATGGAGTCCAAGTTCAAGGAACAAACATGAAGTGAGCGATAAGTGAGTCTCTAGAAAAGGGACACGAGATGGACCTGAGATGGAGTCCGAGATGGACCCGGGATGGAGTTCGAGATGGACCTGAGATGGACCCGAGATGGAGTCCGAGATGGAGTCCGAGTTCAAAGAACAAGCATGAAGTGAGGGATAAGTGAGTCTCTAGAAAAGGGACACGAGATGGACCTGAGATGGAGTCCGAGATGAACCTAAGATGGACCTGAGATGGAGTCCGAGATGGAGTCCGAGTTCAAGGAACAAGCATGAAGTGAGCGATAAGTGAGTCTCTAGAAAAGGGACACGAGATGGACCTGAGATGGAGTCCGAGATGGACCTGAGATGGAGTCCGAGATGGACCCGAGATGGAGTCCGAGATGGACCCAAGATGGAGTCCAAGATGGACCCGAGATGGAGTCTGAGATGGAGTCGGAGATGGACACGAGATGGAGTCGGAGATGGACCCAAGATGGAGTCCGAGATGGACCCGAGATGGAGTCCGAGATGGACCTGAGATGGAGTCCGAACTGGACCTGAGATGGAGTCTGAGATGGAACTGAGACTGAGACTGAGACTGAGACTGAGTCTGAGTCCGAAATCAGGACCGAGACCGAGTCCGAGTTCAAGTTCGAGTATAAGTCCGAGTCCAAATACTAATACAGGCTGTTGGGTGAAAGCCCAAAGCAATTGTCCCCCGGGGGGGGGCGGGCTGCAAGGGGTAGGGAGAGTGTGGGGGTTGGAGCCCAGTGGAGCCAGTTTGGCCAGGAAAGGCCAGTTTGGCTCAAAAAGGCTGTACCCAAGTGTTGGGTGATGAGCTAACCACTGGGAAGTCCAAGACTAGAGTGAATACAGACCGACAAGCAGGGTAGAATACAGACCGATAAACAGGGTAGCTTGGTGAAGTGTTCAAGAGCCGGCTCTAGTTCCCCCAGAAGATCGAACGGTTGATGCTCCCAGTCCAAGTGTGGGTGGCACTATCTACTTGGATACCAGGCGTGGCTCAACGGAACCTCGCTCTAAGCTCATGGCTAGAACACTCAAAGGCGGAAGGCAGGGAGAGTACCCATATGGCCCACGTAGGGCCACAATGTTCCAAAATGTTGTCCCAAAGTCCCAAACTGTGGAAAGGAAGAGGAGCAACCCTCTATTGTGGTGACCAAAGACATAGTCACACGGTGAGGAAGTCTTAGAGGACTGTAGGACTTAGTAGTCAGGCTTGTGGGCATTTATCCAGTGGTAGTGTTAGCGAACACGGCCATGGACAGAAAGGGATTTGGTGAGGACTGGAAAGGAGATATTGGGGAAAGCTATTCCCCATGTCTGCGGGCATCCCAAGGATGCTAAGGAGTGGATCCGGGACAACCACTCATAGACATAGATAGCCCCATCTTGGAGAGATGGGATTGCGATGTAGGTGGTGCTAGACCACTGGTGTGACCCAGAGTGAATGGGCATGGCCTTAGCGTAACAGGTTGATATGTCGGTAGTACCTTGGGATGTCGGTCATGGGATTGGACACATGGAACCTTTGGACCAAATGCAATGGTTGAGTGGCATGGATGCCATTTTTGGGGCTAGCAAGTCCTTAAGTCCAAAATAGGACTTACGGAGGTTGTGAGTGAGATTCCTCCAAATGATCGGAGGTGTGATTAAGTGACTAAAGTAGAATGGAAAATTTAGTTGCTTACAATAATGTGCAATAGTTCCTAGGCAAAATGCAGTATCTCGGTCGTTTTGTGGACCATCTTTCTAATCACATTGCACCTTTGCTAGCATTACTGAAGTCATCAATATCATCTTTCATTTGATCTTTAAATTATGAGAGGGTGTTCATGGATCTCAAAGTGCTATAGATGACTCCTTCGGTTTTAGCATATCCTGACTACATTTAACATTTTCGTTTTGCATGTGGATGTTTTTGATATTGGTTTTGGAGGTGTGTTGATGCAAAAGAGCCCAAGTGTGTTTGGTTAGTGCTATCTTATTATATATATAAGTTGTATATTACAACAAATGGAGGTGAACTACTTCAGGATAGAAAAGGAGTGTTTAGCAGCAATTTGGCATTTTGAGAAATTTCATATATATGTTATTAGAAGATGATTATGCTGCTATTACTTCATTATTGAAGTGAAAGAGCCTAGTTGGTTGTATTGCTCGGTGGGCTTTGAAGTTTTAGATATATGATTTTGATGTTGTTCATCGCCTAGGGAGTTATATGGCTGATGTTGATGCCTTTTTTTCAAGTTTCTGTTCCTTTTTTACTCTCTTCTCCTATTTTTGATGAGCTTGTTGTTTTAACATCTATGGATTTTCTAGATGAGGATTCTGTGCCATTGACAGTTGCTGTACTTGACGTTCAGTGTCAACTAGGTGCAAAACAAGATTTACCTTCTCTTGACGAGGTTCGTGAGGCTCAAAAGATTGAGCTATGAATTGAAAGGCTTCGCAATAGATTTAAGAATCTTGCATCCCTTGCTAATAACTTGCTAATCCAATATTTACATTCTCAATATCGTCTTGAAGATGACTTTCTTTATTTTATGGGGATGGATCTTGATGATCATTTACAACTGGTGGTGCCTTCAATATTATTCCATGGTTTTTCCATGCCTACCATGATTCTCCTATTCTAGGCGGGTATATAAGACATTGTTGTGTGACTGAGAAGTTGTGCAGGTATTTCTATTGGCCGGAGATGCAATGTTATGTTATTCGGTATGTGTGTAGCTGCGTTTGGTGCCAAGCTCGTAATACTCTCCTTCGTGTTACGAAAGGACTATTGAAGTCAATTGCAATTTCCCGTTTGTTTTAGTTGGTGACATTTGATCTTTTGGAACCTTTTCCATAATCGACTGTTGACAATGAGTATGTTAATATTGCTTTTAACTACTTAACTTACTAGGTGGAAGTTGGTGCTCTTGCTAACATCTTTGCAACTGCTGTTAGATACTTCCTCTTCAATTGAGTGATGTTCAAACATTCTTGTCTAGAGTGGATTCTTTCAGATAATGAGGCATTTCACATTTTGATGTCTCGATTGGGGATATGCCACACTTTCACGAGTGTTTATCATCCATAATCAAACATTTTGGTGGAACGACTTGTTCGGACATTTAAAAGGATTATTGCAAAGTATATGAACTTTCAACATTTGGATTGGGTTGGTTATTTGTCATATCTTGGTATGTTTATGTCATAGAGGTGTAAAGTTTTGTTGATGCTTCACTATATAAACTCTTATATGGTCATGATTCAATATTACCATTGAAGTTAAGTTTACCTTCACGATTGCCATGAGCTACTGACGCTAGGTCGTGGGATCAATATTTGACAAACATTCTTCCATTTGTCTAAGTAGAGTCTACCGAACACTTATGCCGCATACAAGTGGGATAACAATGGCACTTCAACTCCTATTATCGTCCACTTACGGAGTACAAAATGGATGACTTGGTATTAGTCCATTTTCCCTATTTTATAGTACATGATTTATCGAAAGGGCTCTTTGCTTAGTGGAAAGGATTGTATTAAGTGTTACAGCAAGTTAGACTGCAAAGTTATGAGGCTTGACATGATGTCTAGCAGGCCAATCCTCTAAAAATTCTGTATGTGCAACAGTTGAAATACTTTGTACAAAGGGATTAAGAACAACTAATAGCACCTACAAATCCACCGATATCTTCTCCTAATGTTCCAGTCCCTTTATGAGAGAACTTTAATGGCCTTCCATTATTTTTTCCATTATTTTGAGAGGAGGGGATGATGTGAGGTCGAAGTGTATGGTTAAGATGTTGCATATTAATATTAGCATAGTAAGGTTTTAGTAGCCATTGGATTGGTTTCAATCTGGACCGCTCACTTCTATATATAAACTAAAGTTTTGGGGGTAATTGATATGCACATTTTTGTATTCCTTTTCTATATTCCATACACTTACAGAGCATAAAATGGAGAAATGTTCCAATATAAAGATATAATAAATATTAAGTAGTACTTGTTGATAATACTTTATATCAAGGAATTACAATAAAAATAATTCATTCTTTATATCCATCACCATTTGAACTTTCTGAAGGAGATATAGTCCTTGAGAAATTTCAAAATTACATTATGTAAATATTAATTATGGATAAGGATGTAAAAGATTTTTTACTTGAAAATTTAAATTATAACCTTCAAAAGAGTGTATATGAAAGAATTAATAAATAGTATATTATATATATATATATATATATATATATATATATTTATATATATATATATGCAAATTTATATATTTTTTAGGATATAAAACATTTTTACAAAAAAATTGAAGTGTTTTACAAAGACTTAGAATAAACACTACTCATAATTGTGGTTTTCCATTATAAGCTTCAAAAAAAGAAATTAAATTTAGCTTTAAAATTCTTATTTTGAGATTATGGATTCTTCAAAATTAATGAATATATGGTTATATCTTATTACTCTTACTCTAAATTTAGAGATTTTCACATTTTGCATCTATTAGAATATAAATAATTCTCTGGTCAGGTAAGAAAATTTCATTATAATTACAATTGGTAATTGTAGTTATACAAATGATTGATTAAAAATAAATTCAAAATGGTTTAAGATGTATGTCCCTATGGGCATCATTGGCGGCGCTCTCTTTCTCATGGGCTATCTTCCTCATATGGCTCATGTCAACACCATGGGCAAGGTAAGTTAAGCAAGCAGCACTTCCTCTCCCAGAATGAAATCTCTCTTGGATTGGATCGAGCAGCCAAATGAGAAGAATTAGAATTTCCTGCGTAACCTCTCGCTTTTGAATTTTTTGCAGGAAGCCCAAGCTGCCGCCTAGCAGTGGCCAGGAATCTTTTGTTTGTAAGAACTTTCTTGTGTTTCATAAGAACTTCCAGCCTTTCGGTTGAGAACTATTTCTTCTCATTCGATTTCCATTCGTCCGTTGGAACTTTCATGGATTTCTGCCTGTGAAGGATCGGTTTCTTTGTTCCAGAGAGCTCAAAATCCTCGCCAAGTTTCGCAAGTCTTTGTGAGTTTTCTGCGATTTTCTCCATGAAACTAACATTTACTTCACTCATGCAGGAACACCTTGGGAGGTCCGGCCAGGGACCGAGCTGATGCAAATTCTTCGATTCAATCCGGGGATTCCCATCGCGGAGATTTCATCCACCGGGAGCGCGCAGTTCTTCAAATCCGCGCTGCCGCTCCCTGGCCCCTTCCTGGGAATCTACTCCTACCCGCAAGAATCCTACTTCGAGATGACAGTTCTTGGGCAGTGGTTCCAAAGGAGAAACTCTTACTGTCCGGGATTGGAAGCCTCGAGGTGGCGAAACTGCTTGCTCTAGCAGTGGAGTCACACGGATGGAATGCTTATGCCACTGTCATAGTGGACAAGCTTCTTAGGGAGGAGCGTTTCAAAGACGAGGCTGAGAACTTCGTCCATCTTGCCTTGGAGCTCAAGAAATTGGATTCCTTGGAAGCTGCGGTTCAAGTCGCCCAAAAGATTCTCTTGTAAGATGGTGTATCGGGTTCTTGGTGATCATTTTCTTCCGGAGTTCTTGGAGACTCTAAAGGCTGGTGCTACAACCAAGGCGTTGTGTTCTCTAGTCCTACAGCACGACAAGCTTAGGCCAAGCAAAAGCTGTTTTCGATGGTCACTCAAAGGAACAATCTGGAAGAAGTTGCTCCATCACTTCTCGTCAAAGTGATGAGAGTTCTTGCGTTCTTTCTCGCCAATCCGGAGCTTCTGGATTCGTTTGTGGTCGCTTTGCTGCAGCAGGTGGCAAACGAAAAGCCGAAGGAGACGCTACTCGAAACGTTTCTTGCAGAAAGATCAGGATGGATGGAGGGCAAGGTCCCTGTGGGATTTGCTCCATGCTGAAGGACGGATGGCCCGTTTGAAGGATGGAATTCCGAGAGCGTCCTGTACCAGGCTTTGCGAAATTATCATGGCTTCAAACGACTTTGACATCGATGAAGAGTTACAAGCCTTGTTGCTGATCGACGAACCGAAACTTCTAAATTCTTTTATCAAAGTCGATGGGGTGAGCAATCGTCTCGTGGAAGCTCTTTGAAACAAATGGACGCTGCTCTTGGGTTACAAGACGTACAACTCTTCGAACAAGAAGAATGCCGACACCTCTAATCTCTTCAAGTGTCATGAAGGATTTCTGGCTTTGAAGCAAAACCCGGGAACCTTGGCATCCTTCCCGAAGCTTTGCGAGATGATAACGTCCAGGGCACTCCGGGCCGGAAGCTTTGGAAAGGTGATGGGCGTCCTCACTTGGCTTGGCAACGAGCAGCTGCTGGAAAAGTTGGAGGAGTCACTCTTGAAGTCCGAGCATGCATTGATTTTGAGAGAAGCTCTAAAGAAGGAAGAGAACTGGAGAGATGATACTGGATCTCGCAAAGTCGCGGGTGGGGAGCTTGTCAAGGATGAGATCCCCGGAGCTCACAAGGTACCGGTCTCCTCCTCCAGAGATTTTTGGAAGGTCCAGAGCACTACACTGGCAAGTTCAAGAACATCCATGGAGCTCGAAAGCTTGCAGACGAGATCAACAGCTTGAAGAAAGGTGGTCACTTGTAAGCGTCCGCGAGTGACGGTGGAAGTGGCCAGAAAGCCTTCGTTTTCATAACAAAGACCCACGAGTCTTTCGAGGCGAGATTGAGTATCATGATGGCCAGAACGAGATCCAGAAATTAAACCGGTGGATCGCTTCTCCTTCTTCATCGAAGAAGCGCAAAACCAGAGATTGATCCATCAAGATTGCTTGAAGATGTTACAAAGTGATGGAAAATCTAATTTGATATAAGCTTGATGTTTGCTAGCTAGAATTGACACAAAGTTCTTAGTGGCAAGAAGTTGAGTTCTAAGTTCTTAGAATTGCCTAGTTTCATTTGATAGATTCGAAGACAATGACTTAACAAATCAATCAACATGTTTATGTTTTAACAGATGTTTAAATTAAAAGACAATGATATGGTGATAACGTTGATATAATTGCCATCTTCACAAATCTCTTATGACTTAAACAACCATGCGAGGCACATTGCAGCTGTCCATGAAAAGCAACCGCCACCCGCGCCCATGCCTGTCAAAGGACAATAGTACTCGAATATCCCCCCATTCTTAACCAACTCGTAGCTATCCCTCTCCACGCGCTGCGCCAGCTCCCCGTACCCATACCTCTTGAGCCCCTCCGACACCATCCAGTTTACAATGAGCCAAACCGGTCCTCTCCAGTAGCGAAGTGCCTCAAACCAGGGATCCCGCGGGTCACAACTGGGGATACCGTACGCCACGTCGTCCAGCCACCGGCCCAAAGTCCGGGCCACCGCGCTGGCCTTCTCCCCGGACGCCACGCCAGCAAACAGCGGCAAGAACCCCGCCGACGTAGCAGCCGGCAAGAACTGCCCCGTCAGCTGATCCTTACACCTGTACAGCCCAGCCTCCACGTCAAACAGCGTATCAAACGCCACGTTGGCCCGGGCCGTCCAGCCGCGGATCTCCGACTCATCCGTACACGCCCCGGTTGCGCCCGCCAGCCACAAGAGGTCCTCGTTTGCCTTGTGGAGGATGCAGTTCGTGCAAAGGTCCGTCACCCTGAATGGCGTCTCGTAGTAGAGCTTGGCCTCGTCATAGTCGAGCGCGCGGAATCGATAGAGCAGCGTGAGGTAGCGATCATACTCGGCCTTCTGTGGTCTCATCTTCGCGTCTACGTGCCCCAAATCTCTTCTCACGTAGGGAGGTATGTCGTCGATTGGAACTCGAGCGAGCGCCTCGTCCCAAGCGGGGCTGTTGTCCATCCCCGTCTCCCAAGGATGGATCGTCGCAACCAGTCCTGTTCCTTCCGGATCCCTGGCCCTGTAGAACCAGCGGTGCCACGCTAGAAGCTTTGGAAAGAGCTTCCTCGCCATCGCTAGAGCTAGAGCCTTGTCTTTGGCCTCCTCCAAGAGCCTCCGGACCGAGATGGCCGCTACTGGAGGCTGTGTGATGCCTGTGCTGTTCCTGGGCTTGTCGGGCGATCCCCAAATCTCCGGACCCGGGAAGTAAGTCGAGCTCGGCTTGTGGAAGACGATGTGAGGAACCATGCCGTCTTCCCACTGCGCGGACATGAGCCGGTCCAATTCCTCCCATGCCCGCTCCTCCTCCATCTCGGCCAGGCCCAGTGACACGAGAGCCGAGTCCCAGTTCCACTGGTAAGGATAGAGTCCTTTGGCCGGGATCGTGTAGCCACCTTGGTCGTTCTCCGCTAAGATCTTCCTGCAAGCCTCCAGTGCCTGGGCTTTCATGGTGGCGAACTCTGGGCCGCAGCGGAATTGGGAAGCAAACCTTTGATCTTGGGCGGACGCGGCGGCCGCAGCCGGGATGGCCACCGACAACATGTTGTTGACGATCTCGGATACCTCCTTGGAGATCACAGGTGGTGCGTGAGGGATACTTGTAGCTTCCACTACTGGTGGCAAGCATCGCACTGGTCCCGCCATCCCAAATGCCATACGACTGTGATAAAAGAATGAGAACAAGTGTTAGAAACCCTGTTTACATATTAGGCCTGAGGAAAAGGTCGCTAAAAAGGTGTTAAAAACTTTTAAAAGGAAAAGGGTTCTTCGGTTTAAAGGAGCCTTTAAATCCTAACCCTCGGTTTAGATTAACCCTCCCTTTAAATCTTAACCCTTGCTAGAGAAAAAAAAGCCCAAAGTACCTGCACGAGCGTGGATGGACGACGGGGACGGGGCGAATCGCCTGCGTGGACGATCCACCGCGGAATTCGATGGGATCACAGGAATCCTTCCACGATAATGACGACAAGAGATGACGATCGATGCCGCCGTCCCTGCTGCTGCGACGAAAAAGAAAGATTAGACGAATGACAATGCGCCCGATGCGCGGTTTCAACCCCGAGAGGAATCATCGCCGATGGTGCCGACGATCGCGACTGGAAATCGCCGAAATTCTTGCGTGGCGCCGTGGGATTGGGATCCATCGTCGGATCCAAGCCCTGACCTAATGCGCCAGATCCAGCTTCCTCTTCTTCCCCCATTGAAAATTGTTTATGGCCGTTTCCTCTTCCGTTAACTGCTGACGCGTGTCGTGACGTAGTATGACGTGGCAATGATGCTACTTTTAGGGCTTAGTAATGACATGTAAGATCTTTGAATTTTCCCGCGCTTGGTTTTAGGGCTTTTGCTAGGGTTTAAGGCAATGCGATGATGGGTGCTGGGTGTCGCCGTGGGCACGCGCAGGGATTGTTCCTCTCGACGTCGCCAGGCGGCGGGGGGATCTGCCTGGGGTGTCTCGCGGAGCTTCTTGTGGATCCATCGTCGTTCGTCACGCACAAGGCGTACGCGCTGGCGGAGCTCTCCCGGTGCCTCGAGGACGAGGAGTTTTGCGATGGATTCCTGCGCTACCACTCGCATTTCCTCGCCGGGCCGCTGTGCCAGTCGGTGTTCTTCTGCCATGACGAGGCGCTGGCGAAGGCCACGGTCGATTTCATCCTCAGCCTCTGCCGATCTACCGTGGAGGAGGACAGGGCGCTGCTCGACGATTTCATCACGTTCGTGTCGATGCAGCTTGGCGCCCGGTCCACGATCGTGTGGAGCAAGGGCCAGCGATTCACGGTAGGCAATCCATTCTCTTTTCTTTTTCTTGCATCACTCGATTTCTATCTCCATTTTTCTTTGGAAGTTACACACGATGGGGCTTCTTCTCGATCTTCATAGCAAGATGGATTCTTTCGTCCCCAGCACAATCCAATTCCAGGATTTGATGGAAAACATGGTCTTGGCTCTACAACATGCCTGGTATGGTTGGCTCCTAACTATCTGAGCATGGTTGTTACTAAAAGTTCTTGTAGTGACGATATCAAAGGAGAAGTTCTTTTTCTTCTATTCAGGATCTCTAGTCTCAAAGGTGGCATGGACAAACTTTCGAACTGGTTCCAGAAAATCATCACTCTCACAGTGGCAGTTCTCTTGAAGGCTGAGAGCGATGAAATCAGAACAAATGGTATAGGTACGTGTTTCTTATCGGAACTCTCTTTCTTTCGCTCGCTCATGTCAGAAAATTTTGTGCTTTTAAAGCTCTTCTATCTGTGCTGGCGAAGAACAGTATCTTTCAGCTGCGTAACCAAGAAAACGAATCACAGGAGAGCCAGAACAGCGATGCTGTTTCCAGTCGGGGTAATCTCGATTTCGTGACAACTTTCGCCGAAGCCATCAAGGGGTCGCTATTGTCATCGGACCCCCAGGTCCAGTTGTCTTCGTTGCAGCTTATTTGCGCTATATGCCCGAAAGACGTTGATATCTCTAAGGAATTGGCTATTCTCGTCGAAGAAGGCATCGCGGATTACATCTTTGAGGTCCTAAGAGTATCAGGTCAGCTAATTTTATCCTTCACGTACGCGTCATCTTCTTGACTGACCTGAGTTTTGGAAACCAGAAAGTTTATCTACTCTTGCCGTGACAGCAATCCGCGCCCTGTCTATACTCTCTGCGGCAAAACGTGTTTTCTCTCAACGTTTAATGTTGGGGGTTGAATCTATAGTCCGTGTTCTCGAGCACTCAAGTGGAGCGGGTTTTGCTTCTGTACAGGAAGATGCTCTACAACTGCTAGCAGCTGGGCTTTCCGAGTGTCCTGGTTCTGTCAACTCCTCCAAGGCAGAACAAATATTTGCAACATTGTCCAGCATATTGCAGCAGCATGGGGATCGCGTGCAAGATGCAGAGATGGTTGAGGAGGCTATGAGCTTGTCGTCTGGCACTTACGGTGCTGCTTGCATGGCCATGATCGCGCTGCTGAATGTGCCAGGATTTGCAAGTATTTCTTCGCTTCCTCAACGTGTACTCAGTATGCTAACCAACGTAATGACGAGTATTCTCTACGACCGCTTTCTTCAGCCGAAGGCGCTTATATGCTCCCTCTTTCTGCTTCAGCATGCTTTTGTCTTCGAAGTCAAGCGTGATAGAAGGACATCGGACTTCTTCAGTACCTTCGAAAACAAGCTCCTTCCATTTCTAGCAGAGAGAACACGAGCTTTGGAGGACGAAGTCGCAGCGGAGGCTATATTTGCGTTTTTGACTGCCGTTGTTCAGACCAAAGCTTCAGGAAACAACGCATTGGGGATTTCAGAGAGGCTGGCAAGAGACAAGTGGTTAAGTCTCGGGTTTGCAAGCACAGGTCGCTTCAGGTCAGAGATCTTTAAGAAACGCGTACTAACTTTCGTGGCAACAATAATCGATGCTCTTGACGAAGATGATAAAACGGACGGCAGCATTTTAGCAGCCATACATGTTTTGCCTACAGATCCTGACGATTTACTTGCTCTACTCGAGCAGAGCGGTGCTTTTATTCCAACTGTTCACCCGGCTGTCGTCTCGATTATCTACGCGAGCTACATGCATCATGACAGGTCCAGTTCTATTTGTTTTCGTTCTCGCGAGCAATATTGATCTTCGATCTTGTGTTGCAGACTAGTTGATCAAGAGCAGCTTCTTGCTTCGCTTGAGCAGTTTGTGTTGCTCCACGCATTAAGTCTTCAGGTGCACACCAAGTGTCTGCTTCAAGTTGTCAGTCTGTACGCAATACTCAAGCAGGACTCTTCCTTGAAAGCAGTTTTTAGTGTCGAAGCGGAGTACCTGCTCGTGACGTCCATCCAACACAACGAGACTTCTGTCAGCTTGTCTGCTAAGATCCCCTTGTCCGTTCGGAACTGGATGCTTTCTCAGGAGGGACTGAAGTCGCTATGCTCGCGCCATATTTACAATCTGTTCCGTGCAGCGTCATCGTCCCAAGCCGATGCAACACCAGATCTTGAAGCACTTTGCAGCGTAGTCGAGCACGAAAACGGCGTTGTTCTTGTCAACTCTCTACTCCACAAAGTAGCTCTGGAGAACATTGGGAACGACATGGAGATGCTTACGACGGTGTTAAAGCGTATCTTGGAGTTGAAGGGCCAGCTTGCGAATCGGTTCCATCAGAAAGACATCATATCCAACATGCGTAATTGGTACATCCTTTGTGGCAGTAAAGTTCCGGCGTCAACCTTGATTCCGTTCATTGAGCTGCTTGTTCAGCTGCTTCACACACTAACACCAGAAAGTACGAGGAGGAAGAGTGGATTGTGGCAGGACATAGTTAATCAGGTAATGTGTTTCTCTTTTTCTTTATCTTCATTTTAACATTGGATGGTTTACAGACAATGTATCTTTTTATTCGAAGACAAGACTGCTCCCAGCACAGCCTCACTATTTCGATTCTGGCTTTTCTTTGTCTGTTATGCTACCAATTTTCCTCGGGGCTGAGCTTTCTCTCCGACGCTGCTGCAGAAATATTTAACAACAAGGAGTTTTGCGCGGCTCTAATGCAGCGTGTCACTGGTTCATTGGAGGAAGACTCGTGTAGTGCGGAGAATGAACAGAGCTTGTGTCTTGCTCTAGTTTTCCAGCTTTTGTGGTTACAACAGTAAGTAGTGTCTGAAGTTTGTTAATGCAGTTTTGACACCTCCGATTTGCCAGGTGTAAGAATGGAGAGCTAGAGGAAACTGGAGCGCTCTCTTTCGAAAATCTATGCCGCATCATATACTCCAAGCCGGATTTGCCTCGACTTCTCGCTTTCTGTTGCCTGTCAGAGAAGTTTCGACACCTGACAGTATCGACTGCCCGCCTCGATTCTGTGTTCAATCCATCGTCCCTCAAGTCAATGCTTCTGCTGCTTCAAGGATTCGTTCTTGACGAGAACGACGTCGTCCAGATAAACGCGTCATCATGCTTGCTATCACTATTGACGAGCAAACATCTCACAGCGAAGCAGAAGCAGACGGTTGAAGAGAGTCCCTGGTACTGTTTCTTGGCGAAGGAGATCACCCGTGAACTTCCGTTATGCACCAAAGGCAGCTCAGTCGAGCCAAGGATGAAGCTACTCATCTCACTGCTCAAGATTTCGAAGAATTACAACTGGTTTCCTTCGGCTTTTGCATCTTCGAGCATCACGTCCGTCATTTCAGCACTGCCTGGTCGTGAAGTATACTTCTGGGAAGTGTGCTTTTTCCTCGAGCTGCTTCGCATGAAGTGCCTCGAGAGCGAGCAAGTCAAGGCACTCTCCGACCATTATCAGGTAAAACGGAACACTACTTTCTTTCTTTTTTTCCATTTGTATTTTCTTTTCTTTTCTTTTTTGCAACTTTGTAGTCGTTTCGAAAAGCTTGCCACCAGCAGAAGAGCTTAATAACGAGTTCGGAAAAGCAGAAATCTGTGGGAGGAACAGGAGCGCAAACTTTTGGTGAAAGTTTTCAAGTGATGATAGAGCTGGTGCTATCACAATGCAGTTTCGAAGTCTCAGAGACGACTGCTGTTCTTGGCAAAATCGACGAGTTCATGCGAGAGGTAGCTAAACTTTGAACCAAGTTCTTTCTGTCCATATCTGGTAAGCAATCTCTTGGTATTTTTTTTCTCTTACTTATCCTTTGCCTAGCAGTGCATACACAACGCCTTGTGGAGAGCAACTTCACTTCTTACGCCCGAAACACGAGGCTCTTTAACTCCGATCCAGGCAAGGAACTCTTGATGCGTTTGCGTACGCTAATGCTCCCCTTAATGTATCAGATTGGTGTATTCTTCGCTTGGAAACTTCAAAACACCGCTCTCCAAGCTTGGCTCTACCGGGTTTCGAGATTTGCATCGCAGTGGAGAAAAGAAGTTATAGATCGACATCGCAGATCAATCAGGCTTGTCATGTTTCATTTTCGTTCAAGAATGCTACATCTTGCGCAGACTACAGGGTGGTTCTCCGTGGGCCTTCATGAAAGCTTGAAAGTGGAAGTTACCAATTCATAAGCAGCGAATAGTATTGGCTTTTTCTTCTATTTGGTAGTAAACCATAAACCCATTTTTTTTCCTTAGGGTTCTGTCTAACAAATGGCACACCGGTGGTGGTCGCGTCTTCGCGGTGTGAGCTCCACATTCCTGGTAAGATTTTTCGTTTGTAAATTTCCTCTCGCTGATCATCCTTGGGGCGCTTCTTTTCATCTAGCATAGCAATATCGCTTCAAGCAGCGCTGCCAAAGTCGGGGCGATCGCTGCTGTTGGGGCTACTTGGCTCTACCAAGGTCTCTAGTTTTCTTCCTCTTCTCTTATCTGTGCTCATGTTTTTTCTTTTCTTCCTCTCTCTCCGTAGATCCCCTCGACTGGCTCGACACTGGAAGGATGATGAATCAACGCAGTATCATGTGGAGTTTGCTTGGAAAGAACAGCATTGCTTATTCGGAAGACTTGAGCTTACGTCCATCAAGAGCCGAAACAGGAGATTTCCTGACACGATACACCATCGCTGACGCCGCTGCAAAGGCTGCCCCTGGAATCGTCAACATAACTGTGGATGTTGGTAAGGACTGGATTTCTTTTAGAAAAGAGACTCCTTCTGCATTTTTTCCCTTTCGATTCTTTGTTCTTGGCAAGTTCTAACCAGTTCTAACCAGCTGAAAACTCCAGGAATAAGGAACGTATTCATGGCAAGATCATCCGGCTCTGGCTCGATCATCCAGTCAGACGGGACCATCCTGACAAATGCGCATGTTGTTGCTGAGGCGGGAAGAGGTTCTCACTCAGGCAAGGTGTGGAAAACAAACTCTTAACCATGTTTTTCTTTTCTTTCAAGCATACGCTAACGCTTTCTATGCTGTATCGTCAGATTGTTGTCACTTTGCACGATGGACGTACTTTTACTGGCGAGCTCGTATGCTTCGACATGATAACGGATATTGCCGTGGTCAAGATCAAGTCCAAAGCACCACTGCCCACTGTCAAAATTGGTTCGTCGCGAAAGCTGCGAGCAGGTGAGTGGGTGATCGCTGTAGGGAGTCCTCTACATCTCCAGAACACTGTCACTGCTGGGATAATCAGGTGACAAAGCGTTTCAGCTGCGAGCTGTAGTCTTTTAAACTTTTCCTGCTCCGGTGTTATATGCAGTGCAGTGGAAAGAAAGAGTAGCGAGATTGGTTTGCATGGTGCGACCACGGATTACATACAAACCGACGCGGCAATCAATCAGGCTTGTTATATTCGTTGATTTGCTGTGTTCATTTTTACGAATGTTGGTATAAGTTTTACAGGGTAATTCGGGTGGTCCACTGCTCAACATGGATGGAGAAGTCATTGGGATCAACACGATAAAGGCGATGGCTGCGGATGGTGTGAGCTTTGCAATCCCCATCGATACCGCTGTGAAAGTCATGAACCAGCTCAAAAAGCACGGGTAGGCATAATCTTGTTGTGCTTGTACTCTGATTGTGATTTTGTGTTGCAGGCATGTCGTGCGACCTTGGCTAGGAATCAAAATGCTGGAACTCACCGAAGCAATCATCGATCAGCTCAAGGACCGAGATCCGTCGTTTCCAAACGTGTCCAAGGGTGTTTTGGTACCACAGGTAAAATCCCATCTGTTTGGCCGTATGCTAAGCTTGACACACAGTTTGTCAGGTGATTCCTGGCTCCCCAGCTGAGAAAGGTGGCCTTCGACCAGGAGACGTGATCGTGGAGTTTGATGGGAAGCCCATCGACTCAGTGAGCCAGGTTGGCTTGTTTCTCATACTTTCTTTACAAACCAAGAACCGAGAGTTTTCAGATTGTGGACTTGCTGGGAGACAAAGTTGGAGTGAGTTTCAAAGTTGTGGTGAAACGAGCTTATGGCAAGCAAGCAACTCTGATTGTGGTTCCAGAGGAAGCCACTCCTTGAAGAACCAGAGGTTTTTAAAGTGAATCGAAATTTTTTGCTCTCTAGGTTTTGTGTGCACTATGGCGACAGCTTTGTTCTCTTTTGGAGTGGTAGCGGATGTCCAACACGCGGACAAAGATGACGGAAGTAAGTCTATGGTTAACAAGTTTGGAACTAATTCCTTCCTCGTCCCTCTTCTAGACTTTGAGGGCCGGTGTCAACGCTATCGCGAGGCTCCTGGAAAACTAGCACTGGCGATCTCGGATTTCAATGCGAGACAAGAAGAAATCTCGTAAGCATAGAGGGTTCCTGTCCAAATTGTTTTCTTCTTGTTTTAATCTTCGAGTTCCAGTTTCGTTCTGACCCTTGGCGACATCATTGATGGCAACGAGAGCTTGGAGCTCACTAGTAAAGATTTTGATGTTGTCCTGAATGAGCTGAGCAAGGTAATAGTTGTTTTGGCGTCTGGTTTGATTGATTTAGCTACGTTTCCAGTTGCAAGTGCCCGTAGATCACGTCCTGGGAAATCACTGCCTTTCACTACCGCGAGAGGTTCTCATGCAACAATTGAAGATCCCAGCTCGTTACTACGAACGAAGGCTTGGTCACAAATGGGCACTGGTAAAGTGTAGTGGCTTGTTTTCGCTGATATCATTTGTTCTGTAGGTGGTGCTGGATTCTATGGATCTGAGCTCAACTTGGTCATCCGACACACCAAATTACAAAGCATGGTTTTTATATCTTCTCTTTGCTTGAAATTAATATTTGTACCTGTAGGAGACTCAAGAATTTCTCAAGTTGTTTCCCCTGGGTGACGAGAACCCGCAAATGTCCCTTTGGAACGGTGGGATTGGCGAAGAGCAAAAGAACTGGCTACGGAAAGTTTTAACTGACGCAGAGAGGTCTTGGTCGCTCTAATATTTGCTTGTGGAAAACCGATCCATAATTTTTCCAGGCACAACGTGAAACTCATTGTTGCACAACACCATCCTTTGATACAAGGCTCAGCTCCAAGCACGCATTTTCTCTGGAACCACAATGAAGTAAATCTCAAAAAAGCAGGCTCTCATTCAACTCTCTCTTGACTTTGTTTCGGGTTGTAGATCTCGACTATGCTTGTGGAAAGTTCTGCAGTGGTTCTATTTCTGTGTGGTGAGTAGAAAATACAAGAACTCCTTACTTCGTGTTCTGATCTTTCTATCAACAGGCCATTATCATCCTGGTGGATATGCTTGTGTTTCTGGCAAGCACTTTGTTACGGTAGAAGCCATTCTGGAAGCACCAACAGGTTCTCATGCCCACGGATTTGTGAGTGTCTACGAGGACAAGATCACGATTCATGGGCATGGAACTGTTACAAGCCGGGAGCTCCAGATCTCGGCTGCAAAGTGAAGACTTTCATTTCTGGACTTCAAATAATCAACTTTCATTATGAGACCTTTAGCCTGAAGCTTTCTTGTCTTGGTTTTGAGCTACAGGGAAACCCAGGGAAATGGAAGATCGGTCAGAGGAGCCTCTAGCTTCGTTTGGACTGATAGCCGATGTTCAATACGGCGACAAAGCTGACATTGGTAAGACAAATGTGAGTATTTCCTTCCTTCTGATAACAGATACAGTGCTTTCGCCTTCGCAGTGGCGTCCAATGGCAAGACCAGGAGATACAGAGAGGCTGCAGGAAAGCTTGCCAAAGCTATAGCTTTTTTCAATCTCAAGAAGGACGAGCTCTTGTAAGCTAGAGTTTCCAATGTCGCTGGTTGATCTAAACGATTCAATTACCAGATTCATGCTATCACTGGGCGACATTGTGGATGGGAACACGACCAAGGAGAAAACAATGGAAGACTTTGATGTCGTTCTGGCTGAGCTTCAAAAGGTTAACAAGCATTTGGGAGTCAAATCCTTTGCTTTTAATTCTTATGTCTGACACTGTAGCTCGATCTGGAAGCTGTTCATCTGATTGGAAACCATTGCTTGTCACTGCCCAGAGAGCTCCTAAAGCAGAAACTTTCGATCCCGGCCTTTTACTACCAGCGCGACTTGTGCCCGGGCTGGAGATTGGTACCATTGCATTTCCAAAGGAATTTCTCTTAAAGTTTGATAACTTTAGCGTTTTCTTTTTTATATTCTCAGGTGGTGCTGGATACGATGGATATGAGTGTCAAATGGCCCGAACACACACCAAACTATAAGGTTATTTCTCAGTTCTGCAAAGCTCGCTACTAGAACGAACATCCTTTATCATGGCAGGAAGCTCTAGATTTCCAAAAATCCCATCCTTTTGGTGTTGATCACCCGCAAATGGCCCTCTGGAATGGAGGCATTGGCTCAAAGCAGAGAGTGTGGCTAGACAATGCTGTCCGAGATGCACAAAGGTATGACGACGATGACCATTTCCAGTTTGTTGTCTAAAGCTTTTGGGCTTTGTAGGAGCAACACAAAGCTCATAGTTTGTGGACATCACCCAATCGTCGCTGGCTCCTCACCACCAAAGCATTTGGCCTGGAACCATCACCAGGTTAGCCAAAAAGCTTGTAAATCTCCTTTGATCATCTTGTTTGTCTTCAGATACTGTCAACGCTGCTGGGAAGTCCTGAGGTTGTGCTGTATCTTTGCGGTAAGAATAACAACTTCACACACTACCATCTATGTAATTCTCGATTTTCGCCTTTGCAGGGCATTACCATTCCGGAGGCTATGCATGTATCAATGGAAAGCATTTTGTGACGCTAGAAGCCATTCTGGAAGCACCAGAGGGCTGGTGTGCCCATGGCTTGCTGAGAATTTACAATGGCTGGATCGAAATACAGGGCTATGGCAGCGTCATTAGCAGGCGTCTTCACTTTAAAAACATTTAATTTCCATAGCCACCAATATCTGGGATATGGGATATGTGTTTGGGCTTTTATTTACATTTTATGCAAATGAATGAAATGATTCTTATTCACCAAGGCTATTAATTCTTTTTGAGCTCATAAGTTTGCATATGCATGATCACAGATTTATCAAATGAGAAGACTTGGCAGTTTAGAAGAACCTTATAAACTGTGATCCATAATATATTTCGAGTATAAGTTGGTGCACTAATGTGGGTGGATCGTTTTCAGATTCATGAATACAAAAGAAGCAGATTACCAATGTAACTGTGTGAATGCTTGACCAGCCGCAACTGACTTCTACAGTGAATGATGTTGCCAACAAAACGCACGTCCGCCATATAAATGCGAAAGTTGCTCAGTCCGTCTTGGCTCAACTTGTCTGGATGCTGAAATTAATATTTCTAGCAATGTGGAACTTTGACCTTGTGATATAAAGGTCTCGTCAGGGGATTTTCTGAGCAGTATTCAAGACAACAGGGCATTGTTAACAGCAATTCTACACAAGTCTGTTGCCCACAGTCTACAGAAGTTCTTAGCTATTCTTCTTTTAGCTATTCTTCTGGCAATAACTCAATGGAGTTTCACTACTGGTCTCTGTCTATCTTCTCCCTGCTCGCAATACTAGGAACCGTCTGGTGCTTGGTGAGAATCTTGTACCCGTCAAAAAGATACAAAGGCCTACCTTGTCCAAGGATGTTTCCAGTAATTGGTCATCTTCACTTGCTCAGACGTGATCCTCATCGTGTTCTTCTCGCACTTGCTCGAGAGTTTGGACCCTGCATGTATCTCAAGCTGGGTCAGTATCCATGCCTGGTGCTTTCTTCTCCGCAAGTCACTAAAGAAGCGCTCCAAGGCCATGACATCGCTTTCTCATCAAGGCCAGCGCTTTCAGCAGCTAGGATTTTCGGTTTCAATGGGTCAGGTGTGCTGTGGGCACCTTACGGAGAACATTTGAAAATGGTGAGGAAATTCTGCATCTTGGAGCTGCTAACACCAAGACGGGTGGACTCTTTTGAGTCCATTCGAGCTGAAGAAAGATCGCGTTTCGTGAGTCAACTTCGCGACATTGCAAACAGGAATGAAGCTGCAGACTTGACATCCATGCTTCTGAACATGACTCTAAATATCATGATGAGGATCGTGCTTGGGACGAGTAGCGCGACTGTAGACAAAGAAACAAAAACGGTAAAGGAACTGATCGCTGAAGCTTTTGTTAGCACAGGGGAGTTTCTAGTTGGAGATTATGTGCCTTGGCTAAGCCTGCTCGACACAAAGAAGAAATCCCGTATGAAAGCTTTGAAAGAACAAATGAGCTCCTATTTGCAGAAGCAGATTGAAGAACACCATGATCAGAATGATAAGTCCGCTGACTTCATGACACTTATGTTACAGAGCCCAGAAATTGGAAGCAATGATGTTGCGATCAAAGCTGTGATTGCGGTAAGGACAGACAGTAGCCTTGTTTGAGCTAGCGGGCTTACAACTTAACAAACTTCTGCAGGATATGATTGCTGGAGGAACAGACACGAGTGCTATCACTGTGGAATGGGCATTAGCTGAGCTAATGAAGCATCCAGATTTGATGGCTAAAGCACAGGAAGAACTTGACAACGTTCTAGGAAGAAAGTCTCAGGTTCAGGGGGGTCACCTTCCCAAACTCGAATATCTTGCTGCAGTGATCAAAGAAACGCTCCGGCTCCATCCACCGGGTCCGCTGCTTATCCACGAGACAACACAAAACTGTCAGCTCAAGAACGTATTTGTACCACAAAAAACTCTAGTCTTTATCAACCTCTATGCATTGGGCAGGGACGAGAGTACCTGGGTCGACCCTCTGAAGTTTGATCCGAACAGGTTCATAGATAAGAAAAACGATGGCTGTGGTCACGACTTTGGAGATTACCTTCCGTTTGGAGCTGGTAGACGTGGTTGTCCTGGTATGCATCTGGCACTCACAGTGGTTTCGGTTACGTTGGCGAGCTTGTTGTATGGCTTCAACTGGAAAATGCCAGACGGTATGAGCTTCGAGCATTTGGATATGAGTGAGGGAGCTGGATTCACCATTCCCCGTGCACTTCCCTTGAAGCTTGTTCCTTTGCCTCGCTAAACATGAAAACTGCTTTGTCTCCTGATAATTAAGAGGTTAAATAATGCTTAATAATAAATTGAGTTAAGAAAACGTTTGTCAGCGGTCAAAATGGCAACAGTCGCGACCGGTGAGAGTCCAAAGGTGACGTACCGGTTTTACTGGAAATCATCGCAGTTCCATTCTCATCACGGAGCCTGCGAGCGAGGTTCCGGTCCAAGTCGAGGCTGCAGCAAGCGATTCACTTCACGCCGATCCTGAAAAGCAGCAGCAAGATCAAGAGCAGCAAAATCATCCGCAGGAACAGCAGCAGCATCAAGAAAAGCCGAACAAATACGGTCACAAGAACTGTGTACCTCCAGTTCTAGTCCAAAATTTCAAGCGGCCCATCTGGAACCGCGACGCTCACGTCGATTACCGCTCCATCTACGACCGGGACACCACTTGCGGTGTTTTCGTTGGAAAGCTCCAGCCTCCATCGCCGCCCAGGAGACCGCCACCCAAGCCGAAGAGGCAGCCGTCTCTCGTGCTCACGCAGATCACCCTCGACTACACCAAGTACGTCGATCCTCCTGCGCCGGTTGCCTTGTCTCCAAGGGACCTCGCCGACTTTGAGGCCTCCTTCGCAACTACAAGCCCAAGAGACGTAAGTTCTTTCTTTCCTGCGTGCTAGAAACTTGAAAAGAAGCTTTTTTTTACCTCCGCAGAAGAAAAAGAAGTAAGCGATGGCAAGCACCTCCGTCGACGTGAAAGAACTCCCAGCGTCGTATGTTTTCGTCGCTGATGTTCCTGGAATGAAGAACACGGACGTCAAGGTACGCACCTTCTTTCCTTCTTGTCTTCGGGGTTTTTTGTCTTCTACGGCCGCTCGAAGTTCGTTCTTCTCGAGAGTCCTGTCAAGAGAAGGCAGTGTGTTAATCCAAACAAGAGACGCGTTACCAGGTCCAGATCGAGAACGATAGCATTCTCAAGATCAGTGGAGATCGCAAGCGCGACAATGACAACTCTCACTACGACACCAAGTTCGTGCGGGTGGAACGATCCGCAGGGAAGTTCATGCGGAAGTTCAATCTGCCCGCAAACGCAGCTCTCGACTCCGTCTCTGCTGCATGCCAGGACGGCCTGCTCACTGTAGTAGTGCCAAAGATCCCTCCTCCTGAACCATACAAGCCCAAAACTTACGACATAAACGTCGGAGCGATGCACCTGACCAGTCCACCGTGAGGCAGAAATTTGTGAAAAAACCAAACTTCTTCCCATTTCTTAGTCACAACTGATAACACTCCGTTTTCTAACCATTAAACGCAAGCGTTTCACCTATAACCTTGGACAGGAGTTCGCTTTAGCTTTTGCAGTCGGGCCTGAGTAAAAGAGAAAACAACAGTGCTCAATAAGAAATGAAAACGAAATAAGCAAAACTCTTACACATTCCGTAATAGCAAGGTTGTCGAGACGCTGGATCCTCTTCTAAAGGCGGCGGAGTCTGGCCGTAGATAAAATCACAGCTCATGTCTTCGAAGTCTACAGGTTAGAAAAACTTAGCTCCAATCCGTTGGAAGAGAAAAACTTACTGGGAACCATCGTCATGGGCACACCGAGTTCTTTTGCAAAAAATCTTTGGGATGGAACCTTGCACATGTTGGTACACAAGCCCACGCATGCCGAGCTCTCCAAAACTCTACATGCGAAAGACGAGAAGCAAAAATTCTTAATAAAAAACGAAAAAGGAGACAGAACAAACACTATGCCTGCATTTCTGGATGTGAACACCAGTTTTTTGCTTCACTCCATCAACCTCGACTTCGATCACCTGAGTTTAATTTTAGAGACAGACACTAACAACACTACCAACACACCTCGCTTGGTCCAATCAACCAACTCGTGAACAGTGTAGTGCCGTGAGCATAAAACTCCGCTGTAGCTCTAGATGCCGGCAAGATAGTCCGAATCTATAGTGTCAGGCGCTAAATGTGAACAAGATGTTGAAAAACTCGAAAACCTGGAAGAAACCGCTACATACCATAGCTCCGATCCACCAAGGCATGAGAGACTCTAATACTCGCAGTACCATTTCGTGTTGTTGCACAGGAGTCCGGCCTTGCATCATCTTCCTTGCTACGTCCACAAAGCCATCAAACCCAGGAAGGCTGGTGGTTTTTCCTGCAGCACAGAACAACGACGGAGCTTTAGAAAAAGCTGAGACAAAACCGATCAAAGTACCAGAGATTTTGGACATGGCTCCAACGAAGACGAGTATCATCCGCTTGTCAAGCCAGGAATCGTTGTAAGAGGAGATCTGTCCCATCGGAGCAGGCTTCCATGTTTCTTCAAGCCTTCCAGATGCCGCGGCCCTGCACTTAAGAGTAAAAGCACCACAAGCTCTCGATGTTCTTCCCGACTGTCTAGAAAGATCCCTCTTGATTTCCAGACTAAACGAACCAACATTCACGATGGAAGAAGCACCAGCAGCCATGCCGGCTCGCAGGTTCTTCCTCCGCAAAAATATTCCTACGTTGTTTGTCCTTTTCAATCCGGAATCTGATTCCATGGAGCATACTGGAAGCATGTAAAACAAAACACGAGTGAGAGATAAGTTCGCGAAAACAGTGAAAAAACAGAGCCAAAGATTCTACCTTGCAAACTTTGCAAACAATAAATACTAGATGTAGAAAGCAGTGAAAAAGGAATTTTTTTCATACCTCTATCAAGAATCTATCTCCATGCCTTTGGCAGCCCCCGCTGCCTTCACTACGCTCTTCTTCTTCTTCTTCTTGCTAACTTTCTTCTTGATCTTCACCGAATCGATCTATCGATAGCACAGAGCTGCGTAAATGCGAATAAAATCATGGTATCCATACCTTCATCTTGTTTTGGTTTGGAATTCTCTTGGCCTGCTTGTCAAGCTGTTCTTTCTCCCCTGCGCCAGCCACAATCAAGTGAGATTTCTATCAGAGAATCACAAATGCCTACTCTTGAGATCAAACTCGTGCTGCCGGGCGCGCGTGGCGAGGTTGTTTTTCTTCGACATCGCAAGAACCCTAAGTTTTAGTTTTAGGGTTCTACCTATCTCTCTCTCTTTTGTCATTGTTTCTGGAATGGAGGAGGGAGATTTGGCGCTGGAGACCGGCCCCTCTCTGAGGCCAATGTAGGCATCGTTGCGCTCGTCCTGATGGAAAATCCAAGCGTTTTCTTGTTTTTGGCAGATACGCGTTTGGATTCGAGGCCATTCCCGGGAAGAACAAGCAAATGGTGTGCATCGACGAGCACACCATCGCCTATGCTCTCGGCTGCAATCTCGTCTTCCACAAGTACAATCCTTTCGATTCTTTTGTAGAATTTGTTCTACTTTTTCTTTCTTGATCAGTTTCCTCGACAAGACAATGCATTTCATCGTCATGAACATTGGAGTCCAGGTGAGAGAATAGAAAGGATTTCTATTCAGACAAACTCTTTCTTCCTATTCTTTTTCTTTTTCAGAGCATCGTTTCTCTGACTTCTACACCGAGTGGGAGCCTCGTTGCAGTGTGTGAGAAGATGAAAATTGGTCACGGCCAGGTGCGTAGATTTTTCCTTATATGCTTTTATGATCTTTGATCTGGGACTGTCATGTTCGTCGATTGTAGATTTCGATTGTCGACACAAAGAAGCTCAAAGTTGTGCAAACACTCATCTCCACAAGTCCCGCAGGTGGCTATTAATTTCACTCTTGGTATGTTGGGACCATTGTGTTGGTTTCTTTGTTATTCTCATCACAGGTGTGATTGTTTTGAAGAGCTTGAAGTGTGCGCTCTATCGAAGAACGAGCAAAAGGCAGTCGCTGTCACAAAGAACGTGAAAGGTTCTGTAATCTGTTGGGAGCTCGAGCACGGCAAGGTCCGCTTGAAAAGGAATGGAGAATTGATGCTCACTGTTTACGTTTTTGTTTTTCCATAGGTTTTGACGACTATACCAATTTTTGTGGAGATCACGGGAGTGACTGTGAATCCCCATGATAGCGACGAGTTTGCCACTTGTGGTTAGTCCTTCTTTCAAGTAAAATAGTTTTCATACGTCTTTTGAGCATGCAGGGCCTACACATTTTAGAATATGGAGCCTCAAAGGTGGAACTACCAAGAGCTTCGCTGTTCCAGGCCTTAATCAGGCGCTTACTCTCACGGACCATGATTGGCTCCAGGATGGCGGGCTTGCTGTTTCGACAGTAGAGGATATGATACTGATAGTACGAGACGGACGCATAGAGAGTGTAAGTATTTGATTTCAGATGGACTTGTAGCTTCACAGAGTTTTCGCTGCAGAAACTGGTAGACACAGGGCACACACTGCGTTTAGTGGCCACTCGAAACGGATTTCTCACGGGAAGGGACGACGGCGCTCTGACTGACTTTAAGGTTTAGTTGTTGTTTCCTTGAAGAATTAATCCGAACTTTCTTTCCTCCACAGGCCCGTGGAAGACCTCCTGTTTATACAGGAACCGTTCTTACTAGGTGCATATCCTAACATGATTGAGGTATTCGTCCTCAGTCTTTAAACTTTACAGAACTCGTGGTCCGATTTCCTGTATTGCGCTACCTCCGAATGTGGATGCCCTGGCTTATGTTCAACAGGTAAATGCTTTGGTTTTTCTGGTCATAACTGAAAATTGTGCCACGCTACATAACAGGAAGGTATTGTGCTCAAGGTTGACTATGCCGACTTTGAGTCGGAGGGCCCGAAAGATCTCATGGACATGCATGGTAGACTGTAAGAAGAAAGATATTGTTCTACAATCTTTCTTGTTTTGTACAGTGATTGACCTTGCGGCTGTTTCTGGAATGGATATTTGCGTTCGTCGCAGATTGATTGCAACTTGTAGTAACGATAAAATGGTGCGGGTGTGGAGCTACTGTCGACTTTTGTGCGACTTAACTTACGCGTAAGCATGTATCCTTGTTTACATGCCATTCACTTCTGTCATTTGCAGTTGTCACGAGCAACCAAGCAGCATAGCCATCAGCCCCTGGGGTTACGAGCTCGCAGTGGGAATGGCATACTCAAGCATCTTGCTGTTTGGTATCATGGCCTCTCGGTGAGTCTTCAGAACGAAAATAACGTATTATCTAATAACCTCTTCCTGCTTTGCTCGTAAAGGCTAGAGCCCCGGAGGGAAGTTGCGCTGCAAGGCTGTGGAGCAATAAAGTACAGTCCAAGTGGTGACATGGTTGCGGCTTTATGCGGGCGTGAGATTGTTATCTACTCGAGCTTTACGTGGGAAGTGCTTACAGTATTGAAGGTACTTGCACAGTTCTTGTGCTAATTTTCTCCCGCGAATTTATTGCAGGGACATATCAATAAGGTGACGTCGATTGCGTGGTCCAGTAACTCTGTGCATCTAGCATCAGCTGGACTGGACGGTGCCACCTACAGATGGGCTGTTGACGACTTTAGGCGGCACGAGGAATGCGTCACGAAGGGATCGCAGTATGCCAGTATACTTTACGACCACAGCCGGTATTTCCTATACAGCTGCGGTCCGGGCCTTCCATTGCGAATCATCAGCACCAGTAACAAGCCCCCACCGGAGATTCTCAACACTTTCCCGAACGAAGTTATTATCGGAGTATGGGATGGCACAGGGGACGGTGACTGGGCAAACAGGTACAGGGGCTCGATTTTGTGCGAGCTTCAAGACCAACCAAGCTATGGCCAACTTGTCGGCTATTTCCAGAGGCGAATGGTTTTAGCAGTGACTGTGGATACGCAAGAGCTGCATGGTTACGCTTATCCTTTTGCGAGCAACAAGACTTCTCCTCTTATGAAGTTTCCACAGCAGTCAGGTATGGTGACTGAATTTTGACGATATAGTTTCCCAGCTCATCTGTGCATTCTTACCAGGTCGGATTGCTGCAATGTGTGTTGACGAAACGCATAACATTGTGTTTATTCGTTCCACAAAAGGCACTATATTTATTTGTACTTTGGATGATGGCAAGATTTCTGCTGAAAGACCGACTAGTTTGCTTGATTTCTTCACTGATCAAAATGAAGAAGGCGAAATTGAGAACTGGCTGCTTATTAGGCGCAGTGAGCTGGAAGAAGCCGGGGAAGAAGCCCAGGTGAAGATTTTTATTTATTTATAGTTTTCTTTCACAAACTTTTAACTGTTAACTTTTGTTGTTTGTAGAACCTGAAATCAAGCTTGCAAGCTGAGCAAGACGAGTCCCAGTATAGGCAGCACAGGATTCGGCAAGATTGGGCTGCTAAGATAAAAGAGAAGGAGAAAGAGCATGCAAAAAGAGAGAGGGAGCTTGTATTGGAAATGCAAACTCTAAAGGAGAAACTGGAAGCTGCAGAGAAAAACTTGGAACATACAACTCAAACGTTCTTGGAATCCCAAAGCCAGGCAATGGGAACCTTGTACGAGCATTTTGAAGAAAAGGTAACACTATTGGTCAGATCTTCGGCTACCTTACGCGTCTTGTGTTCCAGTTTACCGGAGAAACAGCTAGAGCGGAACACTGGAGAACAAAAGCAGAGCAAGTGAAGGAGAGCTGCGTCAAAGAGATAGAACACAAAGAGAAGGTGCACTCTACGGAGGTGTTGGGCTTGCAAAGTCAGATAGACAAAATAGAAAGCCACTCTCGAACAAGGATGCAGAAGTTGCAGGAAGACTGTGAGAGAGAGATCAGGAAATACAAGGTAGGAAATGGCGCATCCCTTTGCGTTTACTGATTGGGTCTGTGCAGACGTATATGGACGAAGACCTCTTGATTAACGACGAGGAGCTGGTGGTCGGGTTTTCACAGATGAAGCAAGCAATGCAGGCGCAGCAAAAACACATTGATGATGCAAGAGCACAGATGTTGTTGGAGAAGAAAGCTGCCACCTCGTATCAGCTGCAAATTACGGAACTGTCAACTCTCTGCACGGCACAAGATTCAAACATACGGCACCTCGAGATTGAGAAGGCGAGGCTCGAGAACTTCGCTCTGGAATTTGACTACAAGAAGCGGATCCTGGATAAACTAGTGGAGGAGGCTGATGAGCACCGAAAGGCGTTGCTGCATGCGACTAAAGAAAGAGAAACATTGGCAGTACTGCAGCACTCCAAAATCCAGCAGGTAAAACTCGCGAGAGTTTGTGCTAAGTTTGTGCGTTTTTCTATTTCAGCTTGTTGAGCGTGAGAAGCCGCTTGTCGCTGAGCTTTCTCAATACAAATCTAAAATCCAAGAGATGCAAGCTCGTGAGTCGCTGGATGTGAAACACAGGCTCGCACAAGAAGAGGCTGCCAGATTGCTCACGGAGCGGATACAAGATCTGGAGCAACGTGTTTTCCGGCTTCTCCATCAACTCGGGCAGAAAGAGGAGTATCTAGACGCATTCAAAGAAGCTTTGTGTGTCATCGTTCACGACCACGATCCAGGGGAATGGCCTCCACTGACGAGAGGTTTGTTCCTGGCCTACGTTAAAGGATCAGAAAGGGCAGCAGTGGCTGAAGGATTGGAATCCAGATCCCAGATCATGAAGCAAAGGTGAATAACACTTCTAAGACTGTTGATGGTTTTTGATTCTCACATTTTCGCATTGCAGGCAAATTCTTGAAGACTTTGTTGTGGTCTTGAAGACCACTATCGATCGAACCAAAGACCGCTGCAAGGAGGAGATGCAGCACTTCGTCAAGGAGAACCTCAACCTCCTGCGGGATTTCTGCGAGGCCAACCGGAATAGCAGGCGCATGGCTTTCATGGTCCAGAAGTTGCAAGTATGTGTACTCAGTTTTATCTTTTGTTGTCTCGTCTCACGCGTGCTTGCCTGTTTTGCTTTGCAGCAACAAGTTGCGTACTTCAAAGGAATTGTTTCAATGCAAAAGAGGTCGCTAGCAAGGGCCCGGCAGAGCTCGTCCAGGCCTTCGACACCGGAAAAGAGACGCTCCATCATCACAGCCGAGCCGCGAAGATCATCATCCTTCGTCACGAGCGGGATCCAGCGTAGGATAAGATTGTCCCGCGAGTCGGATGCGCTGCGGTTACCTGCGAGGCCTCCAACGCCAGTCTCGGAGATACTCAAGCCTTACTCTCGCTTCTCCATCGTCCATGGAGACCAGGATCACACACGGAGGATGACAACGTCTCAGATCGAGAAGCGGATGAGCAAGCCATGGGGATCGACCGAGCCGGAGCGGAAGAGCAATAGGATCCAAGTTGATGATCTCCTGAGGCAGCTGGAGGAGACTAGAAGTGAGCTCGGGAAGAAGCAGGGAGAGATCAACGTGCTCCAGGCTGCTCTAGCGGCAAAGCAAAGATCCAGGCCCGGTACGTCGCTGGGATTTAACGCTTTGCAAAAGAAGGGTGGTGTTATTGCTAGAGGGCGTCCGAAGTGACTCTTTGTAACAATAATAATATTTGTGAAAGATCAAAATTACAAACTTGTAGCATATCTCAAAGTAAGATGAAAAAGCTCAGCACACACTTTCACACATTCTTAAGCAAACTATGATGGAAAAGCTCAAGACACAATTTCACACACTCTTAAACACCAAACTGGTAAACCCACTGTCCAGACTATTTGCTCCTTTCAAGCACATATCATTAACACCAGATAATACTTTGAGAAAACGCTTTTTACGAGCCTTCTTCTTCTCAGCTGCAGCATTTTTCTGGGCCTGTTCTGCCTCCACAATCATGGAATTCACCTTTACCAAATTCATTAGTAGTGAAATTCGATCAGCTCCATCAGCTTCATCCAATTCCCTAAGAATCTCTTGCTTTAGTGCTCTCAAATCCTTGAGCATGTTATCCATGGATCTATTTGGACCTGCACACCTTTGTTACAAAATCACCTTCGTTATGTTCAGAAGGAGCTAAGAGCTTAATGCGGAACCCTCTTTTGTTTGCTAACATGAATGAATGGGTATCGGAAAAGTCAATGTAAAAAAGATGCGAAGGTGTCATCGAAGTTGTTGTTTAGCGCATCAAATCTGGGATATGCATCTATAAATTAATATAAAAAAGTAAACGTTTAGTATTTAATGTTATGACAAAAATTATCGCAGATGAGCAAAGACTTCTATTAATGACACTGCATATCCTTGTATTTAAATCCAGCCATTGTGAATTTTCAGCAAGCCACGCACCATCTCTCTAGTGCTTCAAGAATGGCTTCTAGCATCACAAAATGCTTTCTATCGATACGTGCATAGCCTCTGGAATGATAATGCCCTACAAAAGAAAAACAAGAGGGAATTACAAAGAAGATATGTGTAAAGTTCTTATTCTTACCACAAATATATAGCACAACCTCATAGACAAAAAAGATGATAGAAGATTTGCAATCTTTTTGGCTAACCTGTTGATGGTTCCAGGCCAAATGCTTTGGTGTGAGAAGCTAGTGACAATTGGGTGATTTCCACAAACTATGAGCTTTATGTTGATCCTAAACCAAGGTAAAAGCCTTTAGATTATAAACTGGAAATGGTCATCATCATCATACCTCTGTGCATCCAGGAGAACATTGTCTAGCCACTCTCTCTCTGCTTTGAGTTAAAGTCCATTCCACAGAGCCATTTGCAGGTTTTCGTCACCAAAAGGATGTGATTGTTGGACATCTAAAGCTTCCTGCCATGATTAATGATATTTGTTCTAGCAGAAAACTTTGAAGAAAAAAGAACCATATAGTTTGGTGTCTTTGCCTCTCCACAATTTGATTCCTTTCCCTCCTGGCTTGGGCTTTGTCCCACCACTGCATAAGGCCTTATGATGGAAGGATCCAGCTTCTTATTCCTTAATTTCTCCATTCTCAAAAGATGCTATGGATCTGGATTCAAGTATTGATCATTAAACTTGTGAATCTAGACTTTCTATGCTTCCTCCATGTTGGATCTACATAACCAAACTGCCCTTGCAATCCTATTCATGTTTATCTTCAAGATTCCCTATTGTACTATTGGCTTTAACTTGAGATTTTCCATTAGAAACTTTAGAACATCTACCCACATACATACCTATAGATCTGCCGTATATGTGAGTGCATGGAATATAGAAAGGGAATACAGAAATGTGCATATCAATTAGCCCAAAAACCCTAATTTATATACAAGAGTGAGTGGTCTGGATTGAAACTAATCCGACAGCTACCAATCAGCTTCATCCAATTCCCTAAGAATCTCTTGCTTTAGTGCTCTCAAATCCTTGAGCATGTTATCCATGGATCTATTTGGACCTGAACACCTTTGTTACAAAATCACCTTCGTTATGTTCAGAAGGAGCTAAGAGCTTAATGCGGAACCCTCTTTCGTTTGCTAACATGAATGAATGGGTATCGGAAAAGTCAATGTAAAAAAGATGCGAAGGTGTCATCGAAGTTGTTGTTTAGCGCATCAAATCTGGGATATGCATCTATAAATTAATATAAAAAAGTAAACGTTTAGTATTTAATGTTATGACAAAAATTATCGCAGATGAGCAAAGACTTCTATTAATGACACTGCATATCCTTGTATTTAAATCCAGCCATTGTGAATTTTCAGCAAGCCACGCACCATCTCTCTAGTGCTTCAAGAATGGCTTCTAGCATCACAAAATGCTTTCTATCGATACGTGCATAGCCTCTGGAATGATAATGCCCTACAAAAGAAAAACAAGAGGGAATTACAAAGAAGATATGTGTAAAGTTCTTATTCTTACCACAAATATATAGCACAACCTCATAGACAAAAAAGATGATAGAAGATTTGCAATCTTTTTGGCTAACCTGTTGGTGGTTCCAGGCCAAATGCTTTGGTGTGAGAAGCTAGTGACAATTGGGTGATTTCCACAAACTATGAGCTTTATGTTGATTCTAAACCAAGGTAAAAGCCTTTAGATTATAAACTGGAAATGGTCATCATCATCATACCTCTGTGCATCCAGGAGAACATTGTCTAGCCACTCTCTCTCTGCTTTGAGTTAAAGTCCATTCCACAGAGCCATTTGCAGGTTTTCATCACCAAAAGGATGTGATTGTTGGACATCTAAAGCTTCCTGCCATGATTAATGCTATTTGTTCTAGCAGAAAACTTTGAAGAAAAAAGAACCATATAGTTTGGTGTCTTTGCCTCTCCACAATTTGATTCCTTTCCCTCCTGGCTTGGGCTTTGTCCCACCACTGCATAAGGCCTTATGATGGAAGGATCCAGCTTCTTATTCCTTAATTTCTCCATTCTCAAAAGATGCTATGGATCTGGATTCAAGTATTGATCATTAAACTTGTGAATCTAGACTTTCTATGCTTCCTCCATGTTGGATCTACATAACCAAACTGCCCTTGCAATCCTATTCATGTTTATCTTCAAGATTCCCTATTGTACTATTGGCTTTAACTTGAGATTTTCCATTAGAAACTTTAGAACATCTACCCACATACATACCTATAGATCTGCCGTATATGTGAGTGCATGGAATATAGAAAGAGAATACAGAAATGTGTATATCAATTAGCCCAAAAACCCTAATTTATATACAAGAGTGAGTGGTCTGGATTGAAACCAATCCGACAGCTACCAAAATCCCATTATGTTAATATTAGTATACGGCATCGTAGCTGTACACTTGGCCCTCACATCATCCCCTCCTCTCGGAATAATGGAAGACCATCAGGGTTCTCTTGTAAATGGGCTTGGATCTGGAGGAACATCAGGAGGAGGCATCGGCAAATCTGTAGGTGGTATTAACTGCTCCTCATCCCTTTGTATAAAGCATTTCAACCGCTACACATGCACAATCTCTGGAGGATCGGCCTGCTGGACGTCATGCCGAACCTCATAAACTTGTGGTCCAACTTGCCACAACACCCGATACAGTCCTTTCCACTGTGCAAGGAGCCCCTTAGATAAACCATGTACCGTAAGATGGGGAAAATGGACTAACACCAAATCATCCACGTTGTATTCCACAGGTGAACGATGATAGGTTGTACCACCATTGTTGTCCCACTTGTACGCGGCTAAGTGTTCAGCAGACTCCGCTCGGACAAGTGGAAGAATGCTCGTCAAATATTGATCCCATGACTTAGCATCCGCAGCTCGTGGCAATTGCGAAGGTAAACCCAACTCCATTAGTAATATTGGATCATGACTATATAGAAGTTTATATGGTGAAGCATCAACAGAACTCTACACCCCTGTGACATATGCATACCGAAGAGATGGCAAATAACCATCCCAATCCAAATGCTGAAAGTTCATATATTTTGCAATCATCCCCTTGAATGTCTGAACGAGCTGTTTCACCAGACCGTCTGATTGTGGATGATAAGCACTTGTGAAAGTGTGGCGTATCCCCAACCGAGACGTCAAAACATGAAACGCCTCAGCCATAAATGCGGGAACATTATCCGAAAGAATCCGCTCTGGACAAGAATGCTAGAACACCACTCGATTGAGGAGGAAGTATCTAACAGCAGTTGCAGAGGCGCTAGCAAGAGCACCAACTTCCACCTAACGAGTCAAGTAGTCAGAAGCAATAATAACATACTCATTGCCAACAATTGACCATGGAAAAGGTCCCATAAGATCAAACGCTACCAACTCAAACGGACGGGAAATTGCAATTGACTCCAACTGTCCTTTTGCAGCCCGAGGGGGAGTATTACAAGCTTAGCACTAAACGCAACTACACACATACTGGATAATATCACGTCACATCTCTTGCCAATAGAAAGACTTGCGCAGTTTCTCGGTTACACAACGACGTCTCATATGCCCACCTAGAACAGGAGAATTATGGTAGGTATGGAGAAATTGCAGAATAAAGATAAAAGGCACCACCGAGAACCCTAAGTTTAGCGAGAAGAGGAGTGCCTTGAGAGTCGACTTTTGTGCTTGATCCAGAGTAGGACTAGGACTAAGAGAGCAATAAGGATGATGCTGAGAGCAAGCTGTGCCTTGGTTTCAATGGATTTGCATGTTCCATGAGCAAGAAAGTGTCAAGAGTACTCTTTTAGTCACTGCGAGCTCCCCACCTGGAATTTTCCACGATTCCTTCTCACGGCTAGAGAGAGCACATCCCCACAATCATTCTGAGTCCAAGAACAGGCGATTTGGAGCTAGGAATCAGGAGATCAAGGCGACCCTATCTGGTGGCGGCTAGGGTTATGGACGACCTAGGGATTGCGGCTGCGGCTGAACCAGGTACCTTTTCGCCGATCGCAACGGTGGGAAGATAGATCCTCTGAAGGAGCACACACCAGCAAAACTTCGTGGCAATCCAATGGTTCACGAGCGAGATCCAAACGTCCAAATGTCAAAACATGGTTCAAGTTTGGGGCTTTGGAGTCCACGGTTGCTAGAACTTCTTCCAAGGACACTAACTGCACAGAACCTCATTGGCAGCGTCCTTCCTTCCTCATTCACTTGGGGTCTGGAGTTTTGGGGTCCGGAGAGCCAAACTCCACCTAAGGAGGGGACCACTCGCTTGGCGCCATTACAGCAGCTCGTGTGAATATGCAAAGGACACTATTCTTTGACACGCACCGGGTCCTTCAAACTACGTGGCAGCATTTCCCTACCTTCTGATTGCACACCTAGTTCCAATTGGCAACGGAACAACTTTCAATGGCACACTGAAGTTCCAGCTATGTTGGCTAATCCCTTTCTTGCCTTGGTTGTGGATCCACCATGATCAAGGCACTCGGAGCAATGCCATTTAGATGTATGGGATGTTTCGAGGGGCATGGTTCGTGTTAAAAGCTGCATTAGGCTAGCTTGTTGGAGTGCAGAAACGTAACTTCAACCTGGATCCGAAAGGAGCGGCTCGCCTTTGGTCGTGATTCCAGATGGATAGCGCCAAGGGTACGGCTATATTGGTATGAGGCAGTGGGACTGGTGTGGCGGCACTACACTTGCACGGCCTGATGGGAGGCTGGAAACAGCAATCCCAGTTGGAGGGGATTAGTCACACAGCAGCCAGGAAAGGACTTCCAGGCAGCAGTAGCATCACCATTACCAGAGATGGCACATTCCTCCTCAGTTCATTGCACCATGGGATCTAGGACAGTACACCTCCAGGGGCTTTTTATATCTCTGGGAAATTGTAGGCACCATACAGATGGAGATCAAGCAAGGGCAGTGTACCTTCACTGATCTCACGATTGACTCAAGTCCTTCACATTGGTAGACGCATTCACATGGGAGAGATGAGGCTAGGGACCATGGATAAGGCGCGGAGTTCACCACCAGTACAGATAGGGAGCACGCGCTTGTGGAGTGAGTGGCACGGATTTGGGCGGCACAGAACCGGACTCTAGTTCCTTGATCTGATCTACACAGAACCGAACTCTAGTTCCAGGGATCCTCCCTTCATCACCACCCCTCCATATGCTCTTTGCCGGTTTCGAGCATGTCGAAACCGGACCTCTATGGTTTTAAAAAGGATAAATATGAAAAGCCTTGTTAAAAGGCACTACCAACCGTAAATGATCATTAAGATCTGTCCCCACAAAATAAAGAAGGCCGTCTTTTAGGTGATATTGAGAATGTAAATGCCGGAAAGGCATATCATCAGCAAGTGATGCAAGATTTTCAAACCCATCTCGAAGCCTTCAAATCCATGGCTCAATCTTTTGAGCCTTGCGAACCTCATCAAGAGAAGGTAGATCTTGCTTTGTGCCTTATGGAC